GATTATGTATGAAAAATATATTAACCTATCACATGTTGAAATTTGTTCAAATCCTGGCATGTCCTTAAGTACCCTCTCATGATCGTGCCAGTGCTGCCAGCTAAAACACACACACCAACAAAAATAATATTGGAGTAGCCCAAGACATAGCCAAATATTGCAGCGCCACAGCACTAGTGGAAATTTAAATTTGCTGACTGGAAAGCTTTCAGTTAATTGACGTTTCGGTTAATAGATATTCGGATAATCAATGCTCTACTGTATTTATGAAATATGTACTAAAAGCTAATTTTTATTATATTAATTACATTATTTATTTTGAATTTAGATATTTATTTCTATTAAAAATTTTAATCATGCAACATAATCTATAATTTTTATAAATAACTTTATTACAACTTATATGTTTTATTTGTTGAACTCACGAATTATTATTGTGCATTTGCAAAATAGTGTAAAAATATTTTGGAAAGACATAATATAATGCAATATTTTGTATCTGCAGAAATAGAAATAATAAAATAAAATTTAATTTTATCATTTCTAGAGTCATAAAAACAAGATTAAGCAAGACTTGTTGCAAAAAAAGCTATTAGCAATTATAGACAAATTTCATTATAACAATTCTTGTGTAGAAAATTATCTTTTCTTGCATTGTTATTATATATTTTTAGTATTAATGAATATCAGATTATTGGAAATAGGACAATAACAAAGGATTGCTTTTAAATCATGCCAAATAGTGATTGAATAAAAAATATTCTGAAAAATTATATCATAGTAATCAACAGAGAAAGAAAAATTACACTTAATGTGTGTAAGAGACATTGTACTTTAAATTAAACATGCTGATTCCAAAAAGTTGATGTTTTGAACATTTAAAAAGCATTGTTTTTGTTGTTATAAAATCTGTAATTACTATAAATATTTATATAAAATATGTCAAACACTANATTTAATATATTATTATATAAATACAGATATTTATTTATGCTTTAAATTGAAATTCCAATTATGACAAACAGATGTTGATTATTACGAAAGGTGAATTTACAATTGCGTTGGAATTGAAAGTAAACAAGTTCATCGCTTCTATTAAACATTTTAATAAATAAATTAAGTCATAAATTTAACATTTATGCGTATGTGATTAAAAAAGATTTTATAACTTACCATGTGCATTGATGTAGATATTTTGTACACAAATTAAAACAGTAAATAAGAAAACGGAGAAAAGGCAATTCAAACATCCGATTGCGGACTCCATCACAAATTTTTCGATTTAATCAGAGACCTCTGGGGAGCGATGCACTAAACAGAAATTCTACTATCGTCTGTTAAAAAAAAAATGAAATTATAAGACTATATATATATATAATGAGAAAAAATGATTCACCTTACGACATTTTCATGATACAATCTCAGTTTTGAAACGGATTAATTTCATATCCTGAGGTACCACTGTACCTAGCACAAGTTCTAGGGAACAATTAGAACTTCTTGCAATCAAAAGGTCTCAATTCTTACATTCAAATATTCCCACCTTTAGTTAAAATCACTTTGAATTAAGCATATTAATAAAAGTTTTTTTATGTATGTTAAAATGATTTTATTATAAAAATTGAATGTAACTATATGACATTTATCTGATTTAGTTTAAAGAAAAAAGAAAGACAACCCAGTTCAAAAGGGAAACCTGCCAAGATGGAAAAAATAATTCAGTTCTGTACAATTGCAGTTTACATAGGTTTCACCATATTTTATATTTTAAATCTTTTGTTTTTAATTTTTTAAATTTTTGAATAGTCAGTAAACCCCCCAAGTTTTAACACTTTAAAAATACTTACACGATTTTCTAAATTCGGAGGTTCAGTTGCATCAAAGTCAGGAAAGTCAAAAACTGTTCCATTATTCTCAATTGTCTTTATTAGATCTATACAAATAGAAAAATTTTACAAATAAAAAAGGTATCAACTATAAATATTTTTTGCTATTTTTTAATTTAATAGTAAACATTTTTCCTAAAGTAAAATTATATTAAATCAAAATTTATTGAATATATATAGGTATATTAAATTATAAAAATAGATAAATAATTCAACTTTCATATTATATAAACTCACTATTTATTCAATCCATGACTATTCACTAACAAAAAAAAGTCAAATTTCACAGGTTCATAGAGAGGTAAATCCAAATAAAAAAGATGAAGAGCCAAGTTTTGATATGAAGCTTAATTAGTGGGTTAGTTATTAAGTATCAAAGTGTAGTTATGTCATTTCTGTTTTTTAAGTTTAACTATATAACATATCAGTAATAAAATAAAAATTGACTGATTTCTTTACAAGCAATATCAACATTCAATATAAATAGTGTATAAATGTAATATTTTTAATTAAAATGTAACAATTAATAATATAATATATTTCTATATTATTCCTTCTAAATTTTGTCTATTCATGACATAAAAAATATAAAATTTACAAATTAAATAACTATAATAAAACAACACTCTTCTCATTGCCTAATGATGTTTTCCTTTTACCGATAAGAACAGGAAAGTAAAATTAATATTGATTTTTATCATCCAATTCCGGAAACCTGCGAAACTACCAGTATTGCATGCAATAAATTCATTATTAAAGTTCAGAGCAAACAATTTATTTTCAAACTTATAATTTTTATAGCTTATAAGTTAAAAAAATTCTTTCATAATAAAATGAAATATTGCTATTGTTTTAAATTGTCTTTTTTGAGATAATTAAAGAAATTAACAGTATTTCACTATTCACATTAAATTAACAGTATTCATTATATTTTTGATAATTTTTGATAATTTGAAACAACAAAAATGAGAAAAAAGTATAATTTTATTTTTCTTCACAGAAAATTTTTTTTTCTGTTAAATACACTTCCTCTTCCTACTATGTAAAAAGCTGCTTTATGAGTCTGACCTGGTTAACACAAATAAAATCAAAATGTTGTAAAGAATTATTAAAAATGTAGGCCACATTTTGATTTGTAACAATGTTTAAAATTAATTGTTGATACTATTAATATTAATTTTAAGTGTAATTAATTACATAAGTTAAAAAGTAAAAATTAATTTTATCTTGAAATTTTCTTAATTATACAGAACACCAAATTTCAGTTTATATTAAAAATGTAATTTCACAGTAAACTTTAGACAGATATTGAAATACACACTAAAGTAATTTAATCTAAAATATGTTAAAACTGAAAGTTAAAATACAATTTTGTATAAAGTTTTACAAAAACAATTTCAATCAAAATATTTGTTGAGAACATGATTCAAATCATTAGACACTTTAAATGATGTTTAAATATATTTTAATTATAGGAAAAAAAGAAAAAAAACCAGAAAATAAAGTTATTATGTAGCTTTTTAAAATTAATACTTAAAAAATTAATACTTGCTTTCCTAATACATAACCTATTTATATATAGAATGAAGTCATTAATACCTTTATGCAATTTAGATAATGTTTATATTACTTTATTACTAATGTTGACATAAGAATTATATAATTATATTGAAAACACAACATCAGGCATTTTTAAATAATTCCTCTTTTAGTATAACAGTATGTAATAAAAGAGTAGTGTCTTAAAAATTAATGTCATTTGCATGTATCTGGTATATCTGTTGAGTCAAATCATAGGGTTATAATTCATTAGCCAAAGGATTATAAATTATAATCCCTACAAGAATTATAATTCGTAATCCTCATAGGAGAGTGGTTAGGTGGAATCAAGCAAACGATCAAGACATCATCCATCGGGCATCTATAATAAGCAATGCCACACACCAGTGTCGGAAGAACACTCGGAAGTACAGAGAACAGTTTTTAATTCTTCTCTCCGACATAAAATTGCATTAGAAGTTTGGGGAAAGTTTCTTATTATGTCTTTTAGACCAAAGAGAACCGAATGGATAAAAATGCAAAGTGAAAAGTTACTGAAGTTTGATTTAAAATGCTTTTTTTTTTTTTTTTTTTTTTTAGGGTAAAACTGCATATTTTTCTGTTTTTCTCAATACTACCTTAATTTGTATGTGACAGTTACCATGATCCACTAGAGTATTTTGTTAATTTTTTTTAAAGATGTTTTTCAGTTTTCTGTCTGAAAATGGAAAATATTGCATATTGAACTGACAATGAGAAGATGTTTAAGAATTACAGCAGATTACTTCAGTCAGATGATAAAAAGTTGATTATATAATCTGAAAATGATATAGTGGAAAAACTTGCAGAAAATTCCGACATTGAAAAATAAATTTCTGATGATGATGAAGTTATTGTATATAGTCAATATGTAATGAATATTACATATTGCATATACAGTGGAACCTCTATATTTGTCATTAATCTGTTTCCAAGGGCCTAATGAATATGGAATATGATGAATATAGAAATAGTTTTTCTCATAATAAATAACTGATATTCAATTAATCCATTCCCATCCTGTAAAAAAGATACAAGAATAAAAATTATGTTGTTTTTAAAACTTTACTGTATTTATTTAGTACAATAAAGATATAGTGGTAGAAGGGGAAGAACAGTATTATTGTTTAGAAGAAGACATATCAATTAAAACATTAGGCAATTCCAATTATGATCATGGAGTCTGTTTTGTTGATGATTCAGNTTAATATATTATTATATAAATACAGATATTTATTTATGCTTTAAATTGAAATTCCAATTATGACAAACAGATGTTGATTATTACGAAAGGTGAATTTACAATTGCGTTGGAATTGAAAGTAAACAAGTTCATCGCTTCTATTAAACATTTTAATAAATAAATTAAGTCATAAATTTAACATTTATGCGTATGTGATTAAAAAAGATTTTATAACTTACCATGTGCATTGATGTAGATATTTTGTACACAAATTAAAACAGTAAATAAGAAAACGGAGAAAAGGCAATTCAAACATCCGATTGCGGACTCCATCACAAATTTTTCGATTTAATCAGAGACCTCTGGGGAGCGATGCACTAAACAGAAATTCTACTATCGTCTGTTAAAAAAAAATGAAATTATAAGACTATATATATATATATAATTTCCGTATGTATTAATTTTCATATAATCGTTTGAAATTTAATTATGTTCTACTTCGATGGCAGAAACAGTAGCTAATTATTGACGTCATTCTCAACCGATAAGACTCGATGGTTACGTAATAATCACTTAAGAAGTCCGACGATATCGAATATCTTGATAAGAGAAATAGTTTTGCATCCTGACCTTATGGAAATTTTAAAATAATAAAAATTATGTCGAAAATCCTTTCATTAAGGTCTAAGTGATAAAAATCAAATTTGGTTCTATAATTTAACGTGTAAATCAATAAGGTTTCGGGAAAGAAAAAAATATACATATATATATTTTGATTAATTTATAGACAATTAACTAGAGATATTACTCAATATTCATTTATTAGGCCAAAAATCTTTATCTTTCATATTTGCAATCGCAATATTTTCTAGTAAATCGATATTGCGACAGTTATTAATTCATAAACTAAACAATTATTCTTCGGGCAAAATTATTTATTATTAGATTAATTAGTTATTGCATTTTTAAAATAAATAATTTCCCATAGCTTTTAAGATTTTCATGTATTTTAAAAACCATTTTATTTTCTGTTTTTTTTTTTTTTTTTTTTTTTTTTTTTTTACTCTTTCCAGACTATAATGGGCGAGGCCCGACGTATAGAGGAAAACGGTTTGATTTAGTTTGATGGGATACCGTA